CGATACCGCGGATGTGTCATCTCTGAGTATTAGATCGTGTTGGTATATCTAACACAGGAAGAGCTTCTTTGCTAACGAGCTATTTGAATTAGTCTGGTCAGACCTAGGCTTATGTATTAACAGCAGTATACTTACTGGAAGAGTTTGCCACCTCAACGCATAGGACTTGTCGATACAATAGAGGACCCGAATAGCTTGCCTAACCTGCGCAGCCTGCTCTTCACTAAGGCAAGTGGCATGCACTACAGATCTCATTTGAAGTTTCAATGAACTTGCTATTCCAGCACATCCTACAATCAGCGCATGTAGTTCTTTTTGGTTTATCCTTTCAGCAAGACAAAGCTAGACGCATTAGTAACCCTATCTTATCCACCCGAATTATGTACTCACCATAGCAACAAGCGCCTGAAGTGATTTTAGTAAAAGCATAGATAGTGTCTGTTGATGCCACTTACCAGGAACTTATCCGCACTGTCAGTGTATCTGAATAGAAGTTTCGTCATATCCTCAACAGCAGTGGCTAGATTAGCCTTAACAGAGCTGTTAAACTCTGTGTCGAGTAGAGCTCCCCATGTAATCGTGACTAGTAACAGGGATAACTCGGTAGGCTGGACCGATCGTTCTGGGGGGTTTAGAACTGCCCTGTGTATCTGTATAACATGCTGGGATTTTATGAAAGTGTTCAAGCTAGCTTTAGGTTAGATATATGTAGAGATAAACTGTGTACTGACTTACTTACCCTCCTGGTTCTTGGAAAGCTTCTTCGCCTAGTCAGTATACTACCCTAGTATATGATAATAGACGTACCGTGAATCCATGCACCTATTTTCGGGCTCGCCATATCCAGGGATGAGGGTTGTTTCCCATCAAACCCACTTTTCCAGAAAGAAGGGAGAGAAATTTGACAGTCAGACGAAAGTAGAGTCTTAATCGCTCTCATCGCAGCTTGCTTCCTAGAGCTCCCTAGTTTTGACGCATAGATAGCAGCTGTTATGTCGCATACTCTAGAAACTGGAGTAGTCTTCTTCCTGGATTTGTATCACTATGGATTTGTATGCAGAAAAGAAGTACTGACCTGTAGAGGTTCTAGAAAGACTTGCCAACCCAGATCTAGAAGGGAAAAGGAGAGTGAGCCCTGTTGCGAAGCATTCCTTGTTACATTGTTTGAATCAACTTCACTATTTCGACGAGCAGCTAGGTTCAAGCTATTCTCGAAGGCGCTTAGATTGTTGTTGCTTCCAGGAGTCGACTGCAATGTCTGTCTCGGTAAAATGCTGTCCTGCATGCAGCTGCGTAGTCCTATGTAAGTGTTAACTCGCTAACAGGAAATCAGTAGTAAATTATAATCTGATCAGCAGATAGAAGTATAATTGCTGGAACGAAACGAAAAACAAGAGAGTTGCAAGTAAGAACGCACCTTCTCCAGATCCAGTGGCTAGATAAGATTCACCAAAGAAGCTATCATCGAAATAACGAGGTGTCCCCTGCGCAACTACTCGTGATGAATAATCTTCACGATTAGGTTCGGGACTCCTCCTTTGCTGTATGGGATTCTCATAAACAAAATTAAACAAGTCCAGAGAGGCTGGCGTCACTAGGCCCTCCGTTGTGGGTAAGGGCGAAGAAACGTTCTGGAAGGTGTCGTTGTAACTGGGCGAATTCGAATTGATTGAGCCTCCTTGCGATCCCTGAGAGCGCCGTGTATTCAGGTATATACAAGGAGCTAAGGCCTTCTAGGTAAAGGTTAGGGTTCCACAATAATGTATGATGATGATTCCTTTACTTCACAACTGTGACACGGACTAGCCCCATCACCTGTTCCAACAGTATTAGCATATGCTTCCTAAATTCGGGGCAGTATAACGCACACCGGATCTTCTTCGAGCGACATTCCTTACATGCGCCTCTCCTGCGCGTGTGCTTTGGACGAGAAGTATCTGCTTGAGAGCCCATGCACTGTATAAGCAGTCTAAACAGGCTGCACTATCATTAACAAAAGTGAAAAAGTA